AAAATCGATGATTGAGATTAAATTAACTAAAACAAGGTTTAATCCATAATTAAAATAACAAATATTTCCATATCAGATGACTGGACTTTATAACAATTCCTTCTCTTTAAGTTACTCAGTGATGCCGATGATCCGGATATTGGCAATGCTATAGCTTATAAAATTGAAGTACAACTTTTACAGCATTAGTTCTACTTTGAAGATAGGAAAAGGATTGAGCGGGGAAATAATTAGTACCGAATGCGATGTGTGTGAACCGGTACCAGATAGATTATGAAGGGAAGTAGTCGACGACAAAAGTTCAAAGATTTGTAATCGGACAACATTCAATGAGGGAATATTTGATAGCATTAAATGAACAGTCGTTACAAAGAATATTTGTATTTAAGACATACCGTTACATCTTCATCAATGGCAATTTTATTCTCATTTAAAGAATAGTTTGATCCTAGGATCATGTTTCCCTAGTTAGAACTATAAATAGTGAGGTTTACCGCCATTGTGAAGAAAAAAAAAGACTTTGCACGCAAAAGCTATACTTTATTATTTTGCTCTCACACTTTACTCTTTGGCTCTCAATTTAATGGCTTCATCGTGGCTTTATCTCTATTTTTATTTTTGCTCTCGAAAAGATTGAGCTCAGAACCAAGCTTGTTATCTTCTTTAATTAAAATAACAAATATTCCCATATCAGATGACTGAACTTTATAACAGTTCCTTCTCAAGTTAATAAGTGATGCCGATGAACAGGTTATTGGCAATGCTATAAGCTTTTGAAACTCAAGTACTACTTTTGTAGTATTAGTTTTACATTTAATTAAAAACATTGTAATGACTCGACCGGTCTTTTTGAGTATTTGCACTTCGCTCGGTAGTTTTGAGAACATGAGCAACTCTGTATGATGTATTATGACTTGTATGAATCGTCAGTTTTGATATTCAGGTTAATCGAAATCGATTTGGAAGAATGAATTTCATGATTGAAGCTTTAAGTTGGAAGAGTTGACCAAAATTGACTTTTGTGAATTTGACCCAGAACCAAGTTTTGATTGTTCTGTTAGGTCCAGATGGTGATTTTGGACTTGGGCATATTCCCGGATTTGCATTTGAAAATTTCTAGAAGGATTCGGCGCTTATTGGCGAAAATTGGAAATTTGAAGATTTGGAAAGTTCATAAGTTTGACAGGGAGTTGACTTTTATAATATCGGGTTCAAATGGTGGTTCCTAGAATTGAAATAGATTCGTTATTTCATTTGGGACTTGTGTGCAAAATTTGTGTTTATTCCGGGTTGATTTGATATGTTTCGACGCGAGTTTTGGAAGTTGAAAGTTTCAAAGTTTATTAAGTTTGAATTGAGGTGCGATTCATCGTTTTGATATTGCTATGTGTGATTTGGGGACTCGAGTAAGTCCGAATTATGTTATTGGACTTGTTGTTATATTCGGACGGGGTCCCGAGTGGCTCGGAGGAGTTTCGAATGAGGTTCGGGTTATTTGGATCAATTTTGTTAAGGCTGTTTTTTTTAGTAGTCTTGGTGTGATCGCACCTGCGGAATGTTGGGCACATGTGCGACGTTTTCAAGCGAGGCAGTGGCCGCAGAAGCGTCATGGCAGGATCAGAGCAGTATTGCAGGTCCGAGGTTATTTTCCGCACCTGCGTGATCGCAGATGCGATGCTGGTAACGCGGAGGTGATGGCAGCATAGAAGCACAATTTTTACTCGCACTTGCGTGATCGCAGAAGCGGACTTTTTGCCGCAGGTGCGAGGGCAGGCTACCCGTGGTCACTTGCAGGAGCGAACTTTTGCCACAAAAGCAATGCCACGAAAGCGGCTAAGTGGGTCGCAGATTGCGACGATGCCTAGGTAGAAGATATATATCGAGGGCTTGGCTATTTTATTTATATTTGGAGCTATGGAGCTCGGATTGAGGTACTTTTTGAGTGGACTTTCACCACATGGATTGGGGTAAGTGTTCTCTACTCGGTTTCAATTATATTGCATGAATCTATCTTCGATTTTGGTATTTGAATAATGAATTTTAAAGAGGAAATTGGGAATTTTGCCTAATGTTTCATAAAATAAAATTTTGAGTTTTGAACGTTGATCTGGAGTCGGATTTGAGTGAAACTAGTATGATTAGACTCACAATTGAATGGATTGTCGGATTTTATGAGTTTTGTCAAGTTCTGGTGTGCGAGCCCGGGTTTTGACTTTTTGGTCGACTTTGGAGTTTTGATTGAAGATTCGACCTTTATCGATTGGGTTTGTTTCCTTTGGAATTATTTGATGTTCTTGAATTGCTTTTGGCTAGTTTCAAGCCATTCAGAGGTCAGCACGCGCGGGATTGAATGTTTTGAGCATCATTTGACTTTCTCGATATTGGATTTGGCTTGTTCGAGGTAAGTAATATTTCTAAACTTGGTGCTGAAGGTATGAATCCCTGAGTATACGTGTTCTTTTTTTGGTGTGAAGTGACACATATGCTAGGTGACGGGCATGTTGGCGGCATCCTGTGAATTATGGCTCGATTAATTATGTGGTATTGTGTAGTTACTTGATCTTATCTTTATCCATACAATTTCTACGTGATAGAGTAATTGAGCTGTGATTCATGTTTAAAAACATGTTTAGGCTATATGTTTATTCTGTTGGGGCCACTGAGGTCATTTCTATTGTTGAGATATTTTCTTAAATTGCAGATACATACTCAGTCATATTCATTCATTTGCATATCATATCTCAATTTCTATTATCATTTGTTGTCACAACATGTTATCATTGTTTGGGCTGATTGGCATAAGATTTGTGAGCCTGAGAGACTGCAGAGATTGATGACTGAGTTAGGACCTAAGAGCCGTATAGTGAGTGAGATACATGGATCAGGTTGCACGTTGCAACATGCCTTATGTCTATATATGGATCGGTTTGCACGCTTCAACAGGCCTTATGGCTATATGTGGATCGGGTTTTACGCCTCAACATGCCTTATGGCAATATGTGGATTGGGTTGTACGTCGCAATAGGCCTTATAGCTATATGTGGATCGGGTTGCACGCCACAATAGGTATTATTAATTCATGATGGGATCGGGTTGCATGTCACAACAAGTTATATTAGCGCTCGGGCAGGATCTACCCCTCCGGAGTCTGCACACCCATAGTGAGCGCAATTAATATTGATTCATGATGGGATCGGGTTGTGCGCTGCCACAAGTACCGTACAATGCTGAGTGATTGAGCATGAGGAGTGGGAGTGTGAGACTGTGATATTGAGTACTGTGAGAGTGTGAGTATATGAGTTTATCACTGTGACGCATTGCATTTGACATGCATACTTGACATACAAGCATATAGGTATATTTCTTCATGATACACGTTTTTGGTGACATTCTTGATTTCATCTGTATTTTGACATGTAGGCATAGAGATGTACTTTCCTCATATTATCTGAAAATGAAATATCTTATTTATTGTTGAAAGGTCTTGGGAAAAATCATAGTTTTCAAACATACTCATATGTTTTTGGTGTTTTCGGTGAAAGATTTGGGATTTACTGTTTTACTTGAAAAGCATGCCTATTTTCCGTAAATGTGAACGAGTTGAACATCTTATCTCTGAGTTATTTTCTTGTACCATTTTATTATATTGTTATGAACTATGGATGGTTATTAGAGCTGGACTCTGACCCCATCTCGTCACTTCTTTCAACCTAAAGATACATTTGTCACTTATTGAGTACATGGGGTCGGTTGTACTCATACTATACTTCTGTACCTTGCATGTAGATTTTGGATGCTGATGTTGCTGTGTATGGCAGGAGCTGGCATTGAAGGCGTATTTGTGTTCCGGTCATATCTGCCTCTTGTTCTTGGTAGCTTTAGAATTATTGATTTGTTCAAGTATATTTCAAACAATGTATTTATTTCATACCAGCTTTATAAACTATAAGTATTAGAAGATCATGATTTGTACTACCAATCCTTAAAAATTTCTTTTTATAAAAGCAATTTTAATATTATTTCTTATCTTAATAAATCTCATTAAATTGGATAGTTGTTAATTGGCTTACCTAGCGGGTTGGCTTCGGTGTCACTCCGACTAGTTGTATTTTGGGTCATGACAAGTTGGTATTAGAGCTCTAGGTTCATAGGTTCTACAAGTCATGAGCAAGTATCTAGTAGAGTCTTGCGGATCGGTATGATGACGTATATACCTATCTTCGAGAGGCTACACCACATTTAGGATAAAATTCTCATCTTTCTTTCCTTATCGTGCGACATTGATTTAGGTTGAAACGTAGCTCTTTGAATCCCTTTCACGGATTCGTGTGCACATGTGAGCGCTCGGTATCAGTTTTACCTCGGCGGCTTGTGAATTCCATGGATGAGGTGCGAGATATGATTTCTACATGCTGATGATGGGCCAGTCTAGAGGACTCACTAGTAGAAATACAGACTTTTCCCATGGAAGAATCGATGGAAAATCTGTGTGACATTTCAATATTCCCACGACATTCCCAAGGGAGACGCTCGATAGGAAAATGGCTGGTGAGAAAATAGTCTCCCATGACATTCGTGGGTAATTCCCAGCAATTTTTCCACTGAGGGTTTGGTGGGGTCAACTAGTGTAATTTCCCACGAACGTCGTGGGAAAAGTAAGAAAATAAAATAATTTAAGTTTCTTAAGTTTCCCACCGAATCCATGGGAAGTATTAAAAATAATTTAGATTTTATTTTTATTTTACCCATGGAAGCAGTGGGAAATATTCATAATCTGGATATAAACATATGAATATTCCCACGAAAATTAGTGGAAAATATTGAAATTGTGGGGAAAAAAGCATAAAATTTTCACGGAGTCAGTGGGAAATCTGAAAAATATTTTCATGCCCAAATCTGTTTTTAGAACTACACCACCTGTCAAACAGAAAGTACAACCAACAATACAAGACTAAATACAATTAAGCATTCAAATACCAAATTCAACATGCAATCCAATTCATTTCATAAACAACAACTAATCAATCCATTTCATAATTAATCCAACTAATCCAAAAGTAGAACAAAAACTCAAAAAATCTAACATTCAATATTCAACATCCAAGTACCATCCAATACAAGCTAATAAAAGAAACTACTCCTTAGTTATCATCAGATGCTGAAAAACGGGGAACAGGAAATGTACCAGATGCTAAGAGTGAGTTTATCAGAGACATGAGACTTTTAACATCACTAGTGACAAGTCTTAATGGATCATCCTTTCGCCTATCTTCTTCCTCTTCCTCTCTTCGCCTATCTTCTTCCTCCCTTCGCTTTGCCTATTCTTCCCTTGCACCCCTTTCTTAAAGATGCAACTCTGTAATCTTTGCTACCTTCCTATTCAATTGCTCAAACTCATCCAGATCAACCGAGCAATGTGACGAAGAATAAGAATCAGACAATTCAGAAGTACGACGGCCGATACTAAACTCTGATTCAAGGCCGTAGACTCTCCCCTTATGCAGCCACCAGCTGCCTTAATCCACATGTCCATGATCTCCTCTTGGGTTGGTTGGATTTGCCTACCTTGATCATCAATCGACTGGCTTTGAATGAACTCTTCCAAGATTCGTTTGAAATTATTCAGTAAAAAAATTACAATTATTATAAAAGTAAATTTGATTGAATATGGATATCGGCGGTGCCAAAAGATCATTATCACCTTCATCGTGTCATTATCACCTTCATCGTCATGCCAATTTGGCCTATTTCTCAAACATAGCACATGATGCTCAAAATAATATGAATAGAAATGAGAACTTTCTTTCACTAGATATGCTTCACATATTGATCCCTCAATCTTGGATTTTTGTTTCATCGTCCGTTTACATTTGCAAATAGTCCTACATAGCATAATTTTAGACGGGAAGAAGTGTAATCAAAATACATAACGGAAAAATAATTAATGATTATTACCTCTCAAATGGATACATCCATCTACATTGAACAAGCCCTCCAAGTCGTGCCTCTCTTACAAGATGAACTGGGAGATGTTCCATTACATTGAAAAAATCACATGGAAATTTTTTTGCCAGTTTATTTATGATTAAATGGATGTTACTTTCCATCAAAACTAGATTTTTCTCCCCATGAACTGTCCACACATAATAATATTTTCTAAACCTATTTCTGTAAAGATGAACTTTAACATCCTCCGGTATCAATAACTTTATACATTTGCACTTAGCACAAGGACATCTGATTGTTCCTTCATTACGAAATTCAGGAAGTGTTTTTGTATAAGCAATAAATCCTTTAACATCTTCTACAAATTCTTCCTTTAACCCACCACGATTAGGATGATTTCTATCATACATCCATCTACGATCTCCTTCCATCTATTACCCAATACAAGATAAAATAATTAGATAAAGAAATAAATAATTTATTTAATTCACTAAGTGGAACGTCACGAAACAATGTTTCATAAACTTTCCTTATACATGAAAATTGATAAAGATGACTACTTTGGATTTGACCACTATATACTGATCATGTACTATATTTTCTTATATTTTAGTTGATTAATGGTCCTTGTTAAAAGATAACAACACAAGTCGACAACCAAAAAAATTAAAGTGTGTATTTTAAAATTTTTAACTTTCTATCTCCATTTCTGGAAGAGCCCTACGCATTTATAAAAAGAAAAGGAGAACTTTATCATAATACTTTAACATTTATACTCTTAGGATACAATGCATGTAACAAGAATAAACTTTCATTTTTACTCTTAATATCATTTTTATATAGCAACATAAATTTCACAAATTGTTTAAGGCCAATCAATACACCTTAAAGTTCAATCTTAAGATTTTTAGTAGTGAACACATTGTACTTTGAAATTATAGTTTAAAAGTTTTATATTTCTATCAGGTGGCAGTATTAATTCTCTATTCTTGTGACTTCTTCATAGTATAAAATGAGGCAAAGAAAGTTACTATGCTCATATTTTGCACTAAGCTGTAGTCCCGTAGCAAGAATATGGATCATATCAAGCATGTGGAAACCCAAATAGGCAAATATATATATCCTCGTTCCTCCAGATGAAGAAAAAGCACAATTCAAATATTCTTTTATTCGCAATCAATTATAAGCGTACGTAACACAGCACTATTATCCATTTTGGAATATTAGATGAAAGTACTAAAAGAAAACATAATAGTTAATACACCAACTTAAGAGGTACTAACAATCAAAAAATAAAAGATAAGATAGTGCTTTTTGTGTGAAATATCGATTTGAGGCATGAAGGTACTAATTTAGAAACATGATTTTAACTTACCAAATTCTCAGCACCAGGAAAGTTTCCGTGTTTGGCAAAATTGACAACAAGCTCAAGATTATTCAACTGCAACAAAAAATATAAAATTTTATGTCTTTCATGGTCATAGATTACCAAATTTTACAGTACTGGAAATGCATCTATAGAAATATATATGACACACATAAACTCTAATGTAAAACAATTGAGCCTTGTAGTTTACCATTATTATTATCACTAATACTTTTGGATCAAACACTATCATGGTTTGTTGTCCTTGTAATATTATGAACATAAAGTTCAACATCGTGATTTAACATTACCAATGAGAACTGCTTGTCGAGTACCTGAATATTTTCTGAAGCAGTAATATAATTCACACACACACCCGAATATTTTCTGAAGCAGTGATATAATACATTGTTTACCTCCAAGTCACTGGTAGTATTGTGATCAGATGCATGTGCCTAACACTCAGCAGACTCTAGTAATTTGGATCTAAAAAGATTACAACCTTTTCAAACCCTTAACCTATACCGAATGAAATATGACAAGGATCTAAGAAGATCATAGGAGTCAGGATGCCCAACTTGCTGGATGCTCAATTATGTGTAGTACATGGCAGTTGTAATGGTGGGGACGGTGAGTTAACGGGCCAATGATGATTAATTTTAACTTTTATATAATTTCCCGTAAAAAAAGATTTATATAATCATCAGTAATAATAATAACTTACAAAATAAGATGGGTAATTTACTAAAAAGGACTAAAATGCACTGATAATATAAAATTTGTTATAAGAAAAATCAAATTATGGTGGATGTCTACTCTTCCTCCATGATCTTCTCAAATGCTTAGTGACATATTCAATGACATATTTCTATACTTAATGACATATTTAATGACATATTTTTCTTCACTTTTCATGCCTATATAAAGGTCTTGTAATAGATAGGAAAATACACACAATTGAAGAAGAAAATCTCTTCCTTCTCTCTATCTCCATTTCTTGTTTATGTTTTACTAAATTGCTTTTATTTCATAACAACATGTCTTGTTCATGTTTTACTAAGTTGCTTTTATTTTATAACACGTTATCAACATGATTTGCTATTTTATCTACACTTCCTACAAGAGATAACAGAATTGTAGACTTAGCTTCGTTGAGGTCTTGACTTTTGTTAGTGTGTTATATAGAGTTCATCCTTCAATAGTTTTCATGTTTTGGGACTTTTCTTACACCACACTTATATGGCCATCAAACAGTAAGAATTGCCCTCTACGATTATTCTAAGCGTACAAACAAGGTATGCACATTTCTAATAAATAAATCAGATGAGGTATGTACACCTAGTATAAATTATATTTATGGTTTATAATTAGCATGCTCTTTCTGTCATGTTCTCAGCTTTAACTCCCGTTTTAGTTACTTGGTGATACATGATGGTGGAAAGATCAACATACCAAGTAA